CTCGATCGCATGCTCAATTTCTACCCACCTTCCCATCTTGTACCTTTTTCTTCTATCATCGAATACCGAAGATGTCATAGTCAACCTGTGGAATTGAATTCCACTGCTTATTTTTTCTATGTTTGACTGAAAAAATCGTGGAGGATTTTTGAAAAAGAAATTCATGAAACGCTGAAATTCACGTTAGGACAACAGGTGGATTCAGCTGTTACTCTGCGGAAGTACAGATTCAAATCAAGCCAACGTGTTTCCCAGTTCCGGGACCCTCTATGGTAGACTTTTCTTAGAATTCTACGGATCATAAACTGGAGTTTTATCGACGAATGAACATAGCGACAACCAGTTGTGTCATCCGAATAACTCAGTGTGGTCGAGGTGGGTGTCTGAGATTGTGGCTGGTCACCCTTCCCTTGCACCTCGCGAAATGTTCCCATACGACCAAGCGTCTCAAATAATCTCTGCTGATGAAGTCCTACTCAATATCTTCCTGTGGCGGAGGTATTTTCCCACCAAAGTGAGAAGACGAAAAGCCCACATCGGGGCTATAACCGGGTTACTGAATCGTTGGCAGTTCACCTAATGGCGTTGGCTAAAAGCCCTGATTCCAAACCAACCAAGAAGAGGTGTAAGACCCACATGCACATCTTCCTGGTTGCGGCAGTGGTCAGCGGCTTAATTTAATATCGAGGTGTATTGGGCACCTTGGATGTTTGAACTCGTCCAAAGGACATATGATCCAATGAACTGGACACCAACCCCCAATAGACTGCGGACTCTGAGCTCAATCTTACTGTCGTACGGGTCAGGCTTCCTAGCCAAAGGCTTCGGGTGGGGATCCCGAGGTTAACCTCCTTTCCTCGGCCAGGGTAACCGTGAAGTAACATGCCTACACAACCTATGGACACATCCTACAGATTTCTTCTTGTTCATATGTTTTGGAGCATTTGCCAGTTCTCTGTAATTGGTTACGTGTTCAAATAGATAATGTTGAATGAGCGAGTTCAACAATGTGTATCGTCCGCTGAATGCACATTGAGAAACTAAACGGGTAAAATTGATTGCGATAAATGTGACCTATAACTGGATTGACCGGCAGGGTAGCAAGTGAGGCAAAGTGTATCGACCAGCTCATCGAATCATTTGAACGCGAATAGAAACATGGCGCAACAAATACCCAGATGTGAGGACTTTCCTCTAATGGGAAGTTCTTTATTCGTGAAGTCATAAGCTGTGTTGTGATCGAAGAATCGAACAGATTGCGCAGTTGTGAAGTATTTATAAAGGGATACAGCAGACTGCTCGCAAGGTTGATAGACGAGCACAAATGTAAACCGGACATATGGCGATGATACTGTGTGCTCTGACTAGTCAAACGCTTGAAGTAACACTGCATTTACTTGATGCCGGGAAAACAGACGATCGTTATTCACCGCTGTTTAGATTTGACGTGGGTTTAACATACCGTGGATAATTTGTTCACGCTCAACATTGAATCGATATTTCATCGGTTGCGAAACAATTGATCGTATGTTGTATAGGATGCACCGGAACAATTACGGTAGCCTCTTGTTTGAATGAAGATAAATTAGAATTAATGCTGAAAATTCGTCCTATGCGGTGCATAAAGCTTTACTCGACTTGACTGAACTTGTTCACTGGGGAAAACATTGAGTTCAGCTCTTCCCCGCTGATGCATTCTTTATCATGTTCGTAGACGCACTAATGCTCGACTTCTGTTTACCGAGCAGCTGTAAGTTAGTTTGGTTTTTGTACTGCTAATCATGACTTCTGTGCACATTGTCATGATTTTTTCTGCGTAACTGAAATGAAAACCGCGAGGAGGCTGACTGTTCACTTTGTTCAACCGTTTGTCAAATACCTTGGTGTTATTTTCAGCCGTAGCCTCACCTGGTTTGACCACGTTATTGATGTTTGTCTGAAGGTTAAGAGGCTCATGTTTTATTCTTCAGGTCTTAAATCACTTTCTATCTCAAACCATCACATAAGGCGTTTTGTTTTTGCTTGCGTTTTGCCCCACTGGATTTATGGGTCCCCTGTTATCTTCCCCGGTCTTTTTAACAAGGTCCTCAAACTCATTTTCCGATCCTTCAAGTTTGTGTCGGTATATAGTCTAATATCGCAGGGACAACTGGTACAGAATGTGGTGGCACACCACTTCAAGTCCTGCAAAACATTCTTCAATAATATTTTATCCTTTACTTCCGATTGTCTTTATTCTGCTCTTAGTCAGTGCCTTTCTCACTCATCCACCCGTTTCAGTCACGAACTTATAAAGGCACGCACGGAAGCTACAGGTGCTCTGTTTCATCATATCTCGCCAGATTTCTTACGATTCATGAACTCATTGCAGAATATCTGCGCAAAATGCTAAACTAAACCAAACATAAACGAACTGGTATACCATTGGGTTTTTTAAATGTTGCTATGCCTTTCAATTATTTTAACTGCTTCATTACATTCCAACTACATTTCAATTTCTGACACATCAGTACAATGCGCTCGGTGCTAATATTCTAACTTACACCGATCTTCTCAGGAATCTATTCTTAAGGTATACAGTCATAGCTATTGTTCAAATTTGTACAACACCCTCGGTATTCATCACATCTGTTCTTTCCAACACTTATTGTTTCAAGCCTCATCCACGGGGATTGATTTGATCTTACCTACATTAGAGGCAACATACCTGTAATAATATCTACTTCTGTTTTGCCTCTATGATCAAATAACATTAAATAGTACAATTTATGGATTTCGACAACGGCTGTAGTTGTGCAAGAATAAAAGCCTCATTGGAATTTATTTGTAAAAGTGACCCATAGGTTTTATACAAATACTGTACATTCACTTTAATATTGTTTTATTTGCCCTTCCTTATTCTTGAGTGCTGAAAGCAGTCGTTTTTCGGCATGAAGTCCACCAAGTCCGCCGTCCCACAGCATTTACCAGTTTCCTCTAATACATGCCGCATTCTGGTCACCCACAACCACTATCCAGGTAGTTAATCTATCGCTGTTTCCAACACCGGGTCAGGTTTTCGGTCGCATTCAAATCTCATATGTTCGGTGTTAATTGATTGAATTCGACATTGAACTTGATCCACCCAGAAAATGCATAAATGGAAAAAAATAATTGTTTAGCGACGTCCAGCCTGTTTTCTACAATCAACTCCGAATGGGAAGTTATATTAACCTTTATCTAGGACAATAATGACTTTCTCAAATGCACTTTGAGAGTGACAGTTATTGAAGGCATTCTCATCAGTGCAAGAAATTTTGCGATATCCAGAGTGGCATGCGCAGGAGACCAACAACAAGGCGTTCAGTATCGCGTCCGTTCTACACAAATCCTTCGTAAAGATTTTTTTCCCCGTATCGGTATGAAATTTGAGCCAATATCGCAATTATTAATTAGAAAGAACGAACCTCTATTTTGGTTTGCATAAAATATTTCCAAAACCTGAGCTGTATCTTTCGAACTACTACAAATTTTATAGCGTCAATCAAGGCCATCCGAATTCAAAGGGTGATACACGAGAACTGAAAACAACGCATCGAAAGGTAAAGCTTGGAATAAATAAATTTCAAACAGAAAAATCAATTTACAAGAATGAAATGTGAAATTGAAATGTATTACCTAACTGAGAGTTATGTTGCACAAGTTTGATCAACATCTTTTTGTTAGAATCTCACCTCGACCACCACCACGAACAACAACACCAACACCACCGTCACAACAACAACAACAACAACAACAACAACACAATTACGATCAACTCCACTACCTTCAATTAAATGCACCCTCTTTAAAAATTACCGGTGAAATTGTACATTCAATAAATGAAAAATAAAAATATATCAATTCATTAAAAAAGAATCGAAATCAGAAGGGAGGGAGAAATCTAATGGAATCACTGGGTAAAATTTTCTATTCCATTCAATCTTTTTGGTATAAATTGAAATAATAATCAATTGTACTCACATGTATTAATGGAACTCATGACAGTCAGGGCATTGCACAAAATTGCTCAATACTTGGAATATATGAAAGATTATAAACGTGACATCAATAAAACGCTTATACCATTCTTGCGTTAAATATGAATTAGTACAATAACAAGCGAGATTTATTAGTCGAATTTTACATAACTTTGAAAAGAGAAGCCAATATGGTAACATTGCACGATTCATATCCTGAACGATTTCACTGCATCTCAACTGGTGCATACTGCAGATAAATACAATGTTTATATCGGGTTCTGTGAATAGATTATAAAATAAACAAATATAAATGTGGGAAGAATCACCAAGGCAAAGCCAGGGTGATAAACAAGTCTTTTCGTTGATACTCTAAAGCCGAATGCACCATTCTGCACGGAAAATGAACAGAATAATTGCCTGGGTTTCCCTAATATCAATATCACTCAAAGGCCAGATGAAACTATATCATGATCGGTCTATCGTAAAGTAACCTGGACAAGTCAGTACATGCATTTTGTACGTTTTAGGCCAACTTACTTTAAACGTAATCTTGTCCATACCCCCTATTCGACAGAGCCCGTTGAGTTTGCATTGCTGACAAGATAATCAAATGCTATCAGCGTTTTGAGTATCCAGTTAATAAGAAATGGTTCTTCCGAGGAATCAGTTGACAGGTATACCAGACTGAAAATCGAAAAAAACGGTATTTGGCTGCAGTGGGAACAAACAGAGATGAAGGGAAATCGTCCAGGACATAAATCGTGCAATACTACTATACTGCTTACTGTTTTCAAATTTATCACGGGAAAAGTTTGGTTCAGTTACAAAACTTATCGAATCCTATTCATCTGAAATAACGACTCTTGATATTCACTGCATAATATTTCCTTTATCTATAGATTGACTCACTGATTGATTGTAGACAAATGTAATTCTGTGTGAAATTTGCTCCGTTTATTCTTCCATTCCCTCTTCTTATTTTACTTGGTCCCGAGTCAGATTCAGTCGGCGAACCAATCAGACGAATAATCCGACAGAGTTTTCACCTCTGGGGCAATCGTTGGACAATGCGGTTGACAAACAAGTCACCAGTTGCTCAAATCATCTGTCAGATTCGCCAGTTGTCGTGTATAACTTCTTGAATCACATTCATCAAGAATTGCGCACTATGCGCAAAGATATTCAATGGATAACGCGACACATCACGTCGCTTCAAACTGAAGTGAGGGAAATGAAATCGCCAACTGGTGCTTTCCTCAGATCTCCCAAATCCCCCCGCTCAATTCCCACACAAACCTCACTATCACCCTCATCCGAGAATCCGGGAAAACCGATCATTCTGAATAAGAACTTCAGTGAGTATTCCGGAACAAGAAACGACTCGTTGAATACTTTGGTCATGTGTGACGATATAGTGACCTCAGATACCAGTCCAACAGATAGATGTCATGTAAGCAACCACGGTTCTATCCTGTCCAACGCAAGCCACTTGGACTCACCGAGGCAGGCGAGCGATCATAAGGTCGTGAAATTTCAGTTGCCCCCCAGACGCACACTGACCAAACAACACAGTGGTCATCTTGGTTCACGCAGTAGACATTCGGCCAATCTGCATTTGAACGAACGAGGTCGTATTCGATCCACGGAATCCGATAACTCACTTCCTCGGCTAGGAGGTGTGTTCAAGCGGGCCAGTAGTCCGGCACCACCGTAACCCGCTTCCCAAATGCCTTTCTTTCTGATCCACTCACATCCCCTTCCCCGCTCCAAATTCACTCATTCTCAGATTCAAAACAATGGAATGCATATATTGTGATTGCTCCGTTTGTTGTGCTTTGCACAAAACCCGAGCTGTGTGTGTGTGATATGTATATTTTATCCAACCAGTCTTCCATCAACACTCCGGAATATCGGTTCACGGATCCCAACTCTTGTTCAGCGTCCTCGTCCACATGGTCAAAATGAATAATAATTGCTCAACCGCGTCCTCCAAGGAACGGAGCTCTATACTTGTTAAATTTCTAATTCAAGAAAAAATGCGCTTGTTCCTTCAAATCCCTCTTTCCCCGTTCCTCAATCACATTCATATCTTTGTTCCTTATTTTACTACGAAATCTCATCGTTTCTTTCATTTCTAGCAACGTACATAGAATATACAAGTATATATGTATGTAATTTAGTTCTGTTGTGTACATATTTTGGAGAAACAGCTCAGTCGTTTGTGATTGCATTCAGTCCCGTTCATCAGCTCTTTTCAGCTCGACCAGAAGCATGAACATGATATGCAGAAATGATTTTGATCGATTTCAAAACAAAAAATGTCATGTAAAAACAACATCAAACGCAAATCCGCCTCCTCTCTTTTCTAATTCGTGAGCCACTCACCCACCACCAAACCCGCCTGATGGCTAGTGGTGATGGTAATAGTGGCAGTGGTGATGGTGTTAGTGGTGTTGGTGGTGGTGATGGTGGAGAGGGGGTGCATACCAGGACATTCTCTGGACCAACAAACTAACAAACAAACGGACCGTGTTTGTCACAGTGATATTCACAACACTCTCAACAACCCAGTATGATCATACATTCCCTTAAACCGTGGAACCAAATTGTGAATCTTTCATCGATTTTCCTCTCATGCGCACAGTCTCACTTAACTGGTTTGGATCAACATCTTGCGCATTCACAACCAGTCATTGACAAATGCACTCACACAGGCACGCACGCACACGAGCGCAATCGCACCCACCCACTCACCTACACACACACGTGCATAGACACAGGCACACATTCATGAAGAGAAACAGACAGAGAACTGTGATTAATCTGTACAATTTTTCCCTGTCGAAGGGATTGAAAATTGCGCTACGAAGCAGAATTCAGACCATTAAAATCACTTCTCACGTGATGTCACTGTTGCTTCCGTTCATCCAGAAATCCACAATTTAAACTGGTAAAGAAATGTGCGTAAAATTTCAGTGTGGTTCGGTTTCCACAAGCACACTTTCGTGTGACGCTTTTGACTGCTGTCTTTCGGTTCAAAGTAGGTGATATCCGTTGTCCATCCAATTGACTGGGGCTGCATGTAGACCAGGTAGATATATAAGGATGCCAAAGAGCGATAGACTTCCTCGATCAAACAACTACTATCTTTGGACAGCCTCATTGTGCACCAACGTGGGTCGAGGGCTGCACCGAGGAGAGTATTGAAGATTCCTGCAGCACACCGCCATCTCGAGTAGGACGATTCCGTATGAGCAGAAACACTTCCGGTAGGTACGCTTTGTAGTCCAGAATATACGCTATCAACCAAGTTTTAGTGATGGCAACAAGATCCCACTGACCAGTTTGCGAACACAGCTGCACTATGGGAAATTTGTTCAAGAAGCCTTTTGCATTTGTGTGGAGTGTCCGTTGAGGTATTTTCTTGGATTCGAATCGTCGGCTTTTTTAAATCGGTTCTGTTACTATGAACCAGCGAAGAAGCAAAGGGGAGGGGATTTCGAGTTGAGAGAAGTAGTATGTTGGCATTGTTTTCTAGATCCGGACACCATTTAGTCACAATGTTTAACAGCGGCCCGAGGCGTAATACCGATATTCCTCGTCTACTTTTATATCACGCTTGCAATACTAACATGGTCATTTTCCAGAATTGTTTCATAGTCCACGAGCGTTTCCACGATGGCTCCTCAAACATCCGAGGCAGGTGATTGATATGGCAAAAAATGACATCCAATCAGCTTTTTAATGAACCTCCCATTCTGCACGGTGGTTCTTTTGATACTCAAATTTGTCTGGATCGTCTACGTTAGGGATCACGTGAATCAAAACAACTAGTTTATTCTCCGCTTTGCATGTATTTACCGGATCCCCATGATAGTGCATACGTTCTATCCGTCATCGAGGAGCCATTCGTGTTCTACTGACTTTTTTTAGCAACAAGACAGGTAGAAAAAAGAAGTTCTTTTCAATCTTTCACAATGGCGTGAAGTAATGAGTTGTTTCTCGACATTGGGCGAGGACGATTGGCGAAATGGACGTGTGATGCTTACCGAGTGAACTTTTAAGTGCGTTTGTGCATGTCATACAGTCCAGCCATCCACTCATTTCTACTCGTCTCGCCCTTCGGTGAATTTGCTGTCACTTCTGGTACATTAGAGTGGCGGTGGTGCAGTGGTTTAGTCACTGTTATCGGCGTGCTTTAGTCCGAATTTCCACCATCGCCACCCAACTTTGGGGGTAGACAGCGTTTCTATCGTCCGATTCAGTTCTACGCCTAACCTGGAGGGGCCTCATGTGGTTCACCACTCAAAGTCCCACGGGGCCTAGGTTACCGATTTTCATCCATGAACAGCAGGTCCTCGTGACTATGGGATTCCATCCCACCTGCTGTTCAGCATACAAAAGTGTGATAAAAAACATTGGCGTAGATCACTGTCAGAGGGATGAGATTAGCTGTCCCGTTTTCTTTTAGCTACTTTTCTTGCCTATGATTATTTTACCTTACCTAAGTGGTGCAGAAACAGAATGTAGCCGGTACGACAACTGCGTGAAGAAGGAAACAGATGAGGAATACAGGTTTTAAAAATGGATACTTGGGACTTGAACGTAAGTCATACTTCGCGATAGCCCAGAAATAAGTAAGTGTTGATGATAATAAAAATGACAATTTTAAGTTGCTCATATTTTGAAGCGGGACTTGAGTAAAACTGTACCTTTGTTTTCACATTTTGTAAAGTAAGTTTGAATAGTTAAGTAGAACTGATCATTTCCTCGTGAGAGAATTTTTAAGCGTAGCTCCTATTTCACAAACCTAGTGAAATGGCTATAAACTATTCTCGGCAAGGCCTGAGAATAACATAAAATCCCAGTTAAACTGCTACTCTATCTCGAGCGCACCGGGTATTCACATAGATAGTGGCCTGTTGAAGGATCGATCCGGAGCAGAGGGAAGGGCACAGATAGATTGTGTTGACTGGGTGTGTTCACTACGTGCCACATGTTTTGACGGATAAACAGAACGTGAAACGACTGGGTAGATCAGGTAGACAATGTGTAAAGTGTATGTGACCAGATGAGCGTTAAATGTGATTGCGGGGGTGGCAGGCGACATGTGGAAATGTAATCAAGAACGTCATGTGCATAGTGCGAATGGATCAACGTGGAACAGAGATATTCACACGGGAAAATGAGTTCTTGTTTTTAGGGCCATGTGGACACCTGTGCTCGTTGCACAACTTCACTTTCGTAACCTTTTTCTCCCGTGGACTTTGCAGTTGATAGGTTGTTCTCATGAAATCCATTGGTTTGAATGCTTGATGTACTCACCGTCTACTAAATCTGTCAACAATAAGAATTTGATGCTCCCACAAGTCAGCCAACCAAGAGCAGTGGATAAACGTTCAGTCAATCATTCGGACAAATACATTTTTATCTGATTGATTTGCGCCAATCACACGTTCCAGTAAACTAATATTAAAACAAACGGGACTGAATGAGACTGTTGAAAAAATATGCTTTACGCGGTTAAAAATACGTAGTGACTTGATATTTATAGTGCTTCTCTCGAACAGCGACAGTTTTGATAAACGGCGTTATATGGTTTCCAACACATTTCTCTTGGGCCGAACCGTTATCAACAAATACCTCTTCCTATTTAGCCTTCCGCTTGGCCATGAGACTCAAGATTTTCTCAAAACGCTATTGGACAAACGGCTCGGAGTATTCTCTTTTCCCAGTCAAACGTAATTTGACTCTCCGTAACCGAAAAAGAGGGCACAGTGTAAACGAAATATGGAACAGAGCCCATTTGTTTTATTTTCCTTGGATGCTACTCACACCTAAGAAACAAACTATCTACAATTCATGCAAATAAACCACCCAACTGACTGTTGACCGACCAGTTAGATCGTTTTACTTCAAACTATAGCACGGATCACTGTTGCACGTTTAGACTACTCCCAACTTGACATCCGGGTACATGCAGAATAGTGTTCAAATGTGCGTTATTGGGTAGCAGACAAAAACCATACCTCCTATGACACATTCATTTTGATGTGCTCTTTGGTGATCCTGTGTTTTGAACGTTCGTAATCCTAATCGGAAGGGTCAGTCCGATTGGATCCTCAATATGCTTGCGTTGCTGATATCAGGCGCCCCGAGATTTGGAGCACCAGCAAATTCATTCGTGATTATACCCATGTGAAACAAGTAAATAGACATTTCCTTTCAAGGGATAAAGTCGTCGTGTATATGGGAAATGAGACATGAAATGAAAAGCTAGGAAGCATTATACAGTTGTTTCGACCTGGTTGTGTCTAATCAGCAGTGCGAATCTGTTGACCCAACTACGGATCGAACCGGGGACCTGACAGCCAGAACGCAAGCATACAACCCACTCCAGCACCGGTCAGCTGCTCAGACCGTTTTGCATTTTCCATATACACGATGTAATGCAACTCATCTTTGCGAACTGGTTGGAGGCATTGCGCCTCGCTCATCTCAGCGCTGGCGTTCAGGGGTATTCTAGCAATCTGCCTGTGAGGTACCGGGTTCGTTCCCCAGGTGAGTAAATATATTCACAATGCTTATGAGACCTGACGACGTCGAAATAGCTGTTTAGTGCTTCCGAGCTTTTTATTTCATGCCTCATCTGCTCTCTACATGAAGAGATACTTCTTTGAAATAACCATTTAGATATACAAATGAATTCCCCAT